ATGCTTGATGCATTATATAGATTTGATTATATTATACTCTCCCACCCGTCATTCTTAATAAACTTTACTATAATTATCCTGGCCAAGTAACTTATTATAACGTTATTAAGCACTCACCAACTCTCCCAAGGACTCATATAAAATGGTAACAATGTTTGAAGTCATGTTTATCATGAGCAACATTTTTCCAGTTATTTAAAGTGAGAGCATTATCTCTGACTCTCTTATCAAATCAAATAGTAGCAGGATCTTTTAAATATTCATGAACAATTTGAATTTTTCTTGTATTGATTATTCCATTTGCTTCAGCAGCAACTTTAAAGTCTCTTAATCAAGTAATTGAATCTTGATCTTTATCACAAAATTTCTTGATGAGTATAATAATTTTTTTAGTTGTTCTATTATTTTGAGTTATTAATATTATTGTGATATAAATTTTAGCATATCACATAATTTTTCATAGTTAATTTTCATTGGATAATTAATTTATAAATCATATTCATATTTATTTTATATTATTCATATTTATTTCATATTATTTTTATAATATTTCATTCTATTTTTATTATATTCTATACTATTATCATTTTATTTCATACTATTTTATATTATTTTCATACTATTTTATTTTATTTCATTCTATATTTATATTATTTCATTTTATTTCATTTTATTTTTATATTATCTTATTTTATATTATTTATAATTTGTACTAATTATATTTAATTCATATTATTATTATTAGTATGAAAAACATGTATTAATTGATCTATATAATCAAATTTGATTAATATTAATAGTGAAATTTATGTAATATTAGAGTGAACGATGTATAATCATCAAGTGAGCAAGCGATACGCAATCATTAAGCAAGTGTTTTTGTAATCTTAATATCAATCAAAAATAGCTTTAATATTTAAAAGTTGAGTAATAATAATTTGTATAAATATAATATATATCTTAACTTAGAAAAATAATCTTTTGGATAATAATTTTTTTGATTAAAATCTTCTTATCTTCTTATCTTTTTATTTTCTTTAACAAAATCTTTTTAGAAATGAGTTATATTATAAGTCTTGAGTTGGAGATTTTCAGTTAAATATTAATTACTTTTTACTTTCTTATTTGTATTCTTTATTATTTAAAAGATCTCTCATCTGTAATAAGCAATATCATCTATAATAACATAATTAACCTCTTGTCATTACTCTGCGAAGTTGATTAATATTATTTAGATTTATAATAAAAAAAGAAGATAATTTTAATAAAAGTTAATCAATAAAAGAAGATTACTTAACAATTAAATCATTTGAATTAAAAGAAGATTTTTGAACTCATTCTAGCAATTCAACAAAATGAACACATCGTTATCTATCTTTATTAAATTAGTCTCTTCCAACCTTAATTACTTTAAACATATAAAAATCTTTAATAACTCTCCCACTTAATTAAAACACATGAAAAATATGTGATCTATACTTGAAAGATAATAAATCAATGAAAACAGTAACAATATAATAATTAATAATTGAAAAAATCATGCTGATATAATTCTTATACATGTTAAATTAATTAAATATTATTGATTTCTCAATAAAATCAAGAAAATAATTAATATAAAAATAATCAAATTATTAATAAAATATATATAAAATGATTATGAAAAATATCAATAATTAGAATACTAAAAGTATTACAACAAAGTATTACAAATACAAAAAATAAACAACTTTTAGATTAACATTGCTTGTAAATGCGCTCTTTACAGTAAGTGATAAAGTAAAAGCAACAGATAAATAATATTGATTTGTAATGAATTCTAGAATCGAATATAAAATGTAATAAATTCTTTAATGACAAAAAATATGAAAGAAAGTAGACGTTTCATTAAATTTACAGTAAATACATTAACATGCTTATTTTGTTATTTAGTAAAATTCATAGCAGATAGAGTAAGAATAAATACATTATAATATATAAAATAATTAAAAATAACAAATGATAGAAAATTTGTGCCAAAAATTTCATTTGCAGTAATCAGCAAGAAAATAAATAAATAGACAAGAGCAATATCTCACTGTGTGAGCAAATTGTGTCGTTGGACATTTTCCACTTCACGACGATGCTGTTCTCTTATGGTACCAATGGGACCAGAGCCTCGTAATGAATCAATATAATCTTTTATGCGTTGATTATTTCTGACTTCCTCTTTCCAATTGGTAAAATGAAGTACTTGTGTGTGATATCCAGTAATTCCAGACAAGTAATTACAGAGAGTTTTTACATTCGCTTTTTCTGCTCGATATTTTAACGAAGTTAATAAATTCTCGACAGTAACCGGAAAACATTTGCCATTTGGATTTGTGAATCCTCCTATAGGTGCATTTTTTTCAAACCATCTTGCCTCAAGATCATAGTAATCTCGGATTCTTGTGGCCATTTTTTGTTTTAGATTTTGAATATTGAATATAGATTTGGTATGGTGAATAAAGGATTTGGTATGGTGAATAAAGGATTTAAAAATTTGAATGTTAAAAAAATTGTAGAGGCGTTCGGTTCTTTTTATAATGTTTTAATAATTTTTTTTAATGATTATGATTGGTCAGATTATTTATAGTATGTAATATATATATATACTGCGGTTAGATAGACTGCGCCATTTTTATATTTCCACCTAACTAAATACAGTAAATTTGTGTAAAGCGAAGATAACGAAAATAACGAAAAAAGCGAAAAAGCGAAAAAGCGATATAGCGATATAGCGAAAAAGCGATATAGCGAAATAGCGAAAAAGCGATATAGCGAAATAGCGAAATAGCGAGATAGCGATGTAGCATTTAAGCGATATGATTATCATTCGGTAAATCGAGCCCTGACACTTTTGAAAATTAACAATTTTGTAGATCTTTTTGATATTACCGTTACGAGGTAAGAGTATTTGGAAGAATCAAAAATCAACACCGAAACATCATTCGAAAAAGAAACAAGCACATGCTTTGATAAAGCATTTCACAATTATGCGCGTTATTTTTCTAAATAAATATCTTTTTATCAATTTCTCTTTTTATCATTTTGTACTAACGCTAATAACATTTGTACTAACACTACTAACGCTACTAACGCTACTAACACTACTAACGCTACTAACGCTAATAACAATAGGATCAATCTAATTGTAACAACTGTTACATGTAACAACTTTAATATTAACCAATCACATATCCAGGTCCTAATTAACCAATTAAAAATGCGGTTGTTAAATTAAGTAATAAATGTGGGGATCATGAAAAACGGATGATGGTGAAAATTTTGGCCAAAATTGTGCAGATCATGGGATCATTTGGCCAGAATTATCGATAATTTCTTATAATAAAAGAGTAATATTTTGAAAATAATAAGTGCATAAAATATATAACTTAAATTAATATTTATATTGCTAAATACTATGTAAATTTATGAGTATAGTTTTTATTTATAATAATCCGTTTTCACATGATCTCCCACAATAAATGATGAAATAAAAATAACGTCCAATAAGAATACGAATAAATATAAAGTCGTTGTTACATTGTTACAAACTTCAATTATTTTACGCACTTCGCTTTTTGCCAAAAAAATGATTTTAACTATTTTTTTTTTCAAGAGACTTAGGGCTCGTTCCACTTTACGACAACAGTTAACTTGTCTACTGCACGAGCCAGCTTATGAAGGGCAAATCTTTAGTTGCAGGAATCGGCACCTTTAATATATGCTAAATGATATCCGTCCAGAAAGTTCCAACGTGATCGATCTCTTATCCTCATTCACTTTTTTACGTCCAAGACACAACATACGACAATCGGGCTCTTATATTGCATATTTTTTGTAGACACCATGGTACACATATTTCGCCCAGTTTTAGACTTTACTTTGCGAATTGGAGCTTTCAACCGTTCAAGGAGATAACGTTCATAAAATAATTCAAGAACGTTTAGGGAGATTCTTTTATCTTTGAATGCGAGAAATTCCTCAAACGACCAGGTGTTAGGAGTATTAAAGTAGGAATTATTGCAGTACAAAAAGAAATTGGATATCTTTATATTGTTATGCTTGACGCGTATTAGCCCGACGAATTCAAGTCATGCATCTGACGTGTATTAGCCAGCGAATCCTAATCGCGTATTAACCTACATCTGCAAATGTGAAAACTGATCAGACGACTACTATACGCGATTCACAAGCAAGTCGCACACACCAAAGAAATGAAAGACGATGGTATTCAAACCATACCACCGCTACTAATGACGGCGCCAACAACAAACTTTAATACAAGAAAAATCACGTATATCTAAAGAATATGATCTCGGCGAAAAATTCGAAAATACCACTACGCGTATAGTCAGTCACACAACTCGCTCCTGGATATGAATTGGCAAAAAAGATATTCCAAGCCTGGGCAGGATAATTTGAATAGAGCGTTCGATGAGGGGTGCTGGTCACAAAAAGAAATAATGTATATGGCGTATTTTTGTTGCATAATAAGCAAAAGATTTATTGTATTTTTAACTCGGATGACTGACTCGCTATTTGATTGATTTCCTCAGTTATTTCGTTGAATCCAGACTCCCACGTAGCAATTGATAATTCAGTGTTGTATTTCGACATCTAAACCGAAAATTTTTTAAGTCCTCAATGATTCTTTGACATAAAATTGATTTGTCTGGTGGAATTGCTAAACTTGACAATAAAATTATTTATTAGATTGAATCATTGCAAAGTATAATAAAAACAGATCAGAAAATAGTAAATCTGCCTTTTCCTCAGTCAAAAACGGCGGGTTGTTGATTCACAATCATTTTAATTATGATTACGAACTCGAAAGTATAAATAGCATCTATCGCTATAGGATCATAAATACACAGATAAAGCTGATTGAGGTGTAAAACGGTCTATAAAACCAGGAACATTCCGGTTCTCGAGTTTCACTGTGTATATTGATAGCTAATATCAACATCAACGTTAATGCTTTTTAAATCCATGTTTCATTGATTTGTTTTTTTATAATGTCTTCTCAATTATCCAGTTTCCACAAAGTTTTAAATTCTGCTAAACATATAATCGCGCTATGTGGTGCAGGTTTGAGTGCCGAATCTGGGATACCGGTACAGTCAGACCCTTCTTTAGTGATGGTTTTGTGACGGAAAATTAATAAAAATTATTAATATACGAATTTTATCAATACGAATGAATTGTCTTAGACGTTTAGAGGAGAAGGAGGTAATAATTATAGTTCAAAATCATTATTGGAAAAATAATATGATACATTTGTTAATAGGCTATTGGAGACAATTTGCTGCAACTGAGCTTGCTGATCCAAAAGTAAGCATTGTATATATATATTCTACAAATCAAGATTTATTTGATGAATCGTGTTTTAAAATAGGCTTTCTTGAGAAATCCGTCTCGAGTATGGCAGTTTTATCATTATAGGTAAAAAATGGAGATCGTTTAATTCCTCTTATTCAATTCTTACCATCTTTTACAATCAAAAATAAAAAAAGACGAGAATTAGTCATGACAAAAAGTCAAAATCGAGCACACAAAGCACTCATCGAATTCTCAAAAAAGGTAAATTCTGCCAATCCACAAACTCAAACTTTTTCAGTAATCACACAAAATGTCGATGGGCTTTTAACTAGCGGTGGTAATGATAATGTTGATGGCATCGATAATCTGATTGAGATGCACGGGACGTTATTCAAGACACGATGTACCGTATGTGGTGATATTCGTCCAAATCGTGATTCACCAATTGCACCAGCATTGAAAGGAAACGAGAGTTTGAGTTTCGATGCTGATATTCCGCAAGATCAGTTACCGCGGTGTAATTTGTGTACCGGGTTATTGAGACCGCATGTTGTGTGGTTTCATGAGTCTTTGGACGAAAAGGTGTACGAGAAGATTCAAGCAGAATTGGATAGGTGTGATTTGATATTGGTTATTGGGACTGTAAGTGTGATGCTCCACTCTCCTCCATCGTATTACTGTTATTTTTCTTATCTTTTTCTAAATAAAATACTAGTCCGGAATGGTCTACCCAGCGGCTGCTTTTGCATCAGCCGTTCACAGGAAAGGCGGAATAGTCGTAAATTTTAACATTGAGAAGATAGGCGAGGATGTTGCTTTTGAATTGTAATTATTATTGTTAATTTATGTTTTTTCTTTCTTTCTCGTCTCTATTAACCTTAAATTTTATTATTTATAGTATCGGTCCCTGTGGAGAAACATTGCCCGAAGGTTGGTTAGCCTTTTATTAAATGCTTCTAATAACTCTACCGATGACTTATCTCAATTTTCATTAGCTCTCCAGGTTAACGTTTGATAATATAATGAGTAATATTTCATTAATTTATTTGATATAATTTGAGTTTTTCGAGTACAAAAAAATGCTAACAGCAATTTAATTTTTATTATATAGAAGGCGTAATTATCAAGTTTCTTTAGAAAATATAATGACATGACAAATTTTGATAAATCCGTACAAGGAAATCAAGTTTATTATTATTGCTTAATTATAACCGATGAAGAACATCCTTGATTGTAGTCGCTTTTTGCAAATAGAATATTTGAGTATAGTCGCAGCCTATACAATCACACCCTCTCTAGAATCACATATTTTTTCTGATCCAGCTATTATGAATCACAACCTCTTCGAAGTCACTTTTTTCTGGTCCTGAGGGTGAAGGTATGACTGTTTATAGTAAATTTACAAATAATAATAAATATTTTTTAAAGACGCAATTAGTAATGATGATAGTGTCCCTCCATTCAAATCAATTCACAAAAATCGTATGGATCTTTTCAAAGTCCGCCGCATTTTTCAGTTTAATACTATGTCGTAACGGCGTTTTTGTCAGCGAAGACTTGTTCTCAGAATGATGGTGTGTGTCAGCGCTTTCTGGTAGCGGGACTTGTATGCGGCTGATGAATGGAGGTTGTGTTCCCGATCCACCAAGCTATTGAATTTTATCCCAATTCAAAAATTAATTAAGAGTCGAGAAAAAAGAAATCATGATTCCGATATAGCAAGTGACAAACACCAAACCTTGACATGTTTTAGTTTATTAGTTTTTCCAATTTGTGGCTTTCAGCTCGTTACTTCGCTGCTGCAACTTGTTCATATCGACCACCGATTGTTGTTTCAAGTACTGCGAATTGGGTAATTTGTCTTTTGGTTGCCAACCTCGATAGTTTGTTGCTGCTTTTTTAGGCCAACGATTTTTAGGGTGGCTCTTGTTGAGCGGAATTCCTATATTTAGTATTTACCAAGTTTATTGTTAGTTTATAAGAAAATCCTATTTATGGATTAATTAATTTCATAAAGCGGGAAGAAAAAAATACCTTGAGCAACGATTTGGCTTCCTGTGCAACAGATTTTATAACCTCGTTGTCATTCGTCGATCGTGTTTTCTTTGTAAGTGCAAGTTGAGTGTGTCACGGCCTTCGAGATGAGTTTTCGGCTTGTAAGGACCGTACGGCGAATTTAAGCGATTCAATCTAATGACGATTGGATACCAACGACAAATTTTAATTGTATTATATTAACAATATCGAAATGAAGCTAATAAATATTTTATGTGTGAAGTTAATAGAGATGAAACTAACAAAGTTACCTGACTATTCAATCTTTGATTCTCAATAGGATTAGTTTCAGGAATCGGACTACTGAACTCATCCTCGTCGACAAGTTGACTTGTCATTGTATTTCATTGTATTGCGTTTTGATGTGCTTGGTGATCGTATAACTTTAATTCAATAGTCCCTTTACAGTTATTAATTAAAATTGGTAATTACTATATGCTTATTCGTAAATGCAAATGATGGGCAAAAAGTTTACCATGATCATCCAACTTCTCTGCCAACAGTTTGAACTGACTATTTTCTTGTTCTAACTTATCAAGATCTGTGTGAAGATTATTCATCGCTTCTTCGAAATCACTGTTGTCTTCGCGAGCTGGTTAGTTGTTCTTCAAGTATGGCGATTGTATCAGCCTTTAATTATTATCTATTTTAAATATCGAAAAAAACCCCGCTTATTACTCGAGAACATAAAAATCTTAAATACAGATATAAAATTTACCTGATTTTTAATAAGTTCCATATGTTTCTCTTGTAAATCGATTTTCACTTGTGCTTCTTGTAGAAATTGATCTTATTTGTTGACAATTTCAATTTCACGATGTTATATTTTGATACAAATAATCAGGAAGAGAGAGCGATGATAAAAATACCTTTAATCTAACTTCCTTAATCAATTCACGAATCTCTTCGGCCGACTACTGCAGTTTACGTTCCATATCCAAATTAACAAGAACTTTAGCCTTGATATTTTTAACCTTATTACCTATGGTTGTTCACCATTAACCACTATTATATGTTTTAATAATTAATTAATCGACCAAAATAACAATAGTAACAAAACGCGAACCTGGCTCAGACCGCTCACTATCATTCGACAATTATTCAAACTGCCAACTTCCAGGCATAGCCCCTGCAACGAGTTCGTACACCCTTCCCATATGTTCATCTCGTTGCTACCGAGGATGTGTTCCGTGATTTTGTAGATTAATTGTTGGAGACCGCTGATTAGTAGTTCCTCTTTAGAGTCTTGCTTTTCGTTTATATAGGTGGAGATTACTTCCATACCTATATTTTATATATGTAAACATCAAAGATAATGCGAATCTATAAGTTCACAATTTTTAAAAGGAATGTAATATTATAATGATGAATAGACATAATAACAATACCTCATGACAGAATGGCACCAATTTATTTCTTAATTGAACATGTTGAACTGTATTTTTTTAGTTACAATTATTTATCGGAATACGAAATTTAAATATTTAGCCAAAGAATCAAAAAATATATATACCATGTATATCTTGCAACGACACCAACTCTTTTTCATATTGTTTAGTTCTTTGTTTTGCTCGGACTCATTTCACTTGTGACATCTCGTAATCTGATATTATTATTCCCACGAAAGAAACATAAAGGGTATTAATTGATAATTGCGAATTTCAATAAGTAACTAGGCAAATAAGCACCTAACAAGTGCCTCTTTCAACCGCTCGTTCTGTCGTTCAAGTTGAATAACTTCAACAGCTGTCCGTCTATCAACATTAGTCTTTGTACGATTCATCAAGTCTAATTTTCGAATAAGAATCGATAAAAATGACAATAATTGAATACGATTGATATTATTGAGGATCAACAATGACAAAGATAACAATGACTAAAAAAACCAACCTCCTTCCTGTTTAAACACGCTCAAATCAACATTAATCTCTTCGATCTTCTCCATCAATATGTTAACCTCATGCTGCAAATTCTCAGCCTTCGCCTCGCCATCTTTATCGAGCGTCATCATCTCCATCGACTCGCCCGCGTCACTGTACTTGTTCTCGAAAAACTCTTTTTCGGCTCGAGCGTCTTTAAGTTGTTCCCGGAGGTCGCGGAGTTCTTGTTGCAACTCAGCCATTTTGGCTTAATTTTTTTTGAGATTCATCAATTCAAAAATTAAACATTCATTTTTACAATTTAAATTTTATTTTTATAGTATTTAGATATACCAAACAAAAAAATTTAATTTTATATTACATCAAAAATGTTATTATACGGTAAAAGACAGAAATCAACCTTGTAGTTTCGGCTTTATGCTAGTGAACTGCGCAACCTCTTGTCTCAATAACTCAGCTTCATGCATTTTCTCACGATCTTCTTGTCGCTTATTTCCATAATTCTCAGCTTTAAACGGAGCTCTTCGAATTCTTTTAGAGAAACTGTCTAAAGAATTGTATTATAATATGTAATTATCATACCATTATAATAATCGATAGACAAAACAGAAAAAAAAATAATCAATACTTGTTCACGCGACGTCGACAAAGAAAATGGATCCGGAGAAGCCAACTGCCTCACGGGCGTCTCTCGCATATCATACTCGCTACTACCACCAGTAGAAGCTATCAACAAGTCCATATCTCCGCTAGCATCAATGGGTTCATAAAAATAGCATCATCGGCGGCTATGGCATCGTCAATATGTTCCGAGCCTAAGATACTGCTGCTAATATAACTATTATTATCGAGATACTTGTGTCGTTTTATGTCTGCATCCGAATCGCCTCTCGCTCGTGGAAATGCGGGTGTGGTGTTCGCAAAGCAAAGCTTGTTCGTGTGCTATATGGTGAATTGGGTTTAATGAAGCAGACCTCAGTGCGGCGGCAGCAGATGATGACGCAATTTTTTAGACTAGGTAGCATACTACTTGTTAATAGTGTCGGGGATTTTAGACGTTCGCGTGCTTTTAGGACTGTTGGATTGTTTGCAGGGGCAAATCGCGGTTCTGGAGTTTCGCGGTTTGATGATGAATATGATGTGTCAGATTGTGGTGTCTAAATTTTATTAACCTAAAATATTATACAACCATTACCATTCTCTTCTGCCGAAGGCAATATCGTCTTTATCTGCGACGCTCTCACAAACTCCCCGTGGTTTGGTTTGCATTAAAAGTACTGTTTCCCGTTCACGACCCATTACTCTTTCCGTTCATTTTATCCAATTCCACGCCTACCCATTTGCCCGGCTGGAAATCGGTGTGGCCGACGTACCGGATAATGCCGCGGTCACCATGAATTTCGCAGCGTGCGCCTACTACTAGATTATTTGTTGTTGCCATCTCCCTTTTGGAAGATAGTTACTATTTAACTATTACGAGATAATATTAAGTTTATGGAAAATATAAATTGGATAACTGATAGGGCAGAGGCATATAGAGCAGCCACAATTTTCTTAACTATAGAACTATGGGACATGTATGCTGCTCTCTTAATCGAGAGAAATAGCATAGCGATAGCGTAAACAAAAATGGTGTGTCAATCATTGTATGATTTAAATAGTCGCACACCAACTTTTACGAAATCGTAAAAAAAAATCAATGGAGCAATTGAGACAATGCTCGGTTTCAGATAAAGAAAGCAGTATTTTTCAATTAAATAAATCAGAACCAGAAGGAGAACAAGAAAAACAACAACCAAAACAACAACCACAACTCCAATTACCACCAAACTTCTTACCCCCCTTTGTCGACCTAAGACTTCCCAAGAGCGACGTAACATACTACCCACAAATAGGACTAACCCGCTCCGAAAAAACCACCTACTACAAACAGCTAACCTCGCTTCCATACTGGAAACAACCCAGCCTAATAATATACGGCCGACCAACACGCGCTCCACGACTTACCTGCTCATTCGGTTCACAGCCCAATAAAGTGTACCGCTACTCCGGGACCACAGCGACCCTCGACTCAGTGGACTACCCGCCCCCAATTCTGCACATCAAATCCATAATCGAAAAAATACTCAACACGGAATTCAATTTTGTGTTGTTAAATTGGTATAAGAACGGCAATGATTGTATCGGTGAGCATTCGGATAATGAACGGGAGTTGAAGAAGTTGGGCGTGATTGCGTGTGTTAGTTTGGGCGCGGAAAGGAATTTCGTGTTGAGGAATAAGGTGGAGAGGAGATTGGTCAGGAAGTTGGCGTTGGCTGATGGGTCGATGGTTGTAATGAAGGGAAATACACAGGCGAATTGGAAACATTCGGTGCCAAGAGAAAAGAAGATTGTTAATGGGAGGATTAGTTTGACTTTTCGGCAACTTGTATGATAATTTATCTAGGATGTTAAAAAAAACTTGAGTCGGCTTGGCTTGAAACTGTTTCAAGTCTGACACCAAATTTAAAGTTATTAAAAGATCAAGTCCCAATTATCATGTGACTAGAGATGTTAAAAGACTCATTGGAGCAGTTTCTGAGTATCTAAAACCTGGTCCATCACGTGACATAGACTATATATTTTAAGCTTAGGGTTAGGGGTCAAAGCTAGAGTTGAGATCATCACCGACATTTAAAGTACCCTAGCCATGGCAAAAAAGGTGTCGGGTCACGTGATAATAAACCAATCCAACTAATAAGAACGCGTAAAAATTCTGCGCAACCAATAGGAATGTAGCAAATTTTTGATCAACCCGGAAAACCAAATCCGACACAAGAAAAAAAATACAAAATCTAGCTTGACGCATTATCAAAAAATGTCGAGAAGCCAATTTTATATATAACCTTATCTCAGATCTAATCCTAGTCCTAATACTTGATATCTAATCTTAATCGGATATTTTAATGGACCTATTTCAGATCACATGACCCGACACCTTTTTTTGCCATGGCTAGGCTACTACGACATTTAGAACTTCAAGTTGTACCGAATTTGTTTTGCCGGATTGATCTAAGGGTAGGGACATTAGTAAGACCCCCCTCCCCCCACATAATGCAATAAGTTAATATACACCTGACTTTGTTTCAAACCTCCTCCCTCCCAAAAAAATCACTTGATTAATGTCCCTAACCTAATGCCTATCATTCTACGTATCCCTATCATCTCTAATCATATTTATAATGTTACAACTATATATTCGAAATTCAGAATGTAAACAAGATATAAACACACGTTCTCTTCTCTAGTTCTTCTCATAACATTGACAACATGAATATGCCAATCGTTGAATTTACCCTCCAGTACTTGAAAAATCATCCTGGTGCTATTATAGACGATGTCAAGAAAGCATATCAAGGGCAAGAAGGTAAGCAAGCAATCAATGCATGTTTATTGGGAAGATAGTTTGAATGCTGTTACAACACACACCGCAGACATAGAGAGTGTAACACTTCAAGTTTGCTTTCCATTTTGTTATCTATCGTTCATATACTGGAACGTTTATCCATTCACATGATCATATTTTTTTCTTTGCTTTCTGTCATGTAGGGGTTGGTGAAACTAGCGGTAGTGGTCGGTATTTCTTTGACAAAAATCTGGTACATCATTTATAAGGTTAGTTAACTTTCACTTCTTTGCTCCTATTAGTGAAACAATTCATGTTCGACGTTGAAGGAAACACGGCCACCAAGGCTGCTTTTTATCAGCAAAATATATCGACAGACATAGAGTTCTTGAGACCTTTCTCGAGCACATAAATGATGCGTTAAATAAATGGGACGCAGTAAAATATCATTCACCATTGGTAGCTCTGGTGCAAGCATCAACTATAGGAAAGTCTAAAATGTTATGGGCAGTTGCAGAACATGTCTATGTGGTTTATGTATGCCTTCGCAACAGAGAATCATCTGGTATCCCTTCCCGATCAACTATTTCAGATAAACTCTGTATGTTCTCTAACGATCAGACAGCGTTATTCACGTATATTACGTTCATTTGTTCGACAATGAGACATCTGGCGAAATTTGAAGGTAACAAGACAGATTGGTTCAAAGCCCATACCGAGAAGAATCAGTCTGATTTTTGGAATGCTATTGAAAAGGGAATGAAAGAGTGCATGCACGATGTCCAAAGACAATCGACAACAAAATTGATTATTATGATGCAGATTGGCATTCCATCAAAGAGTTAGTCGAGACATGTTGGAATTCTTCGAAAGAAAAGTTGAACCGTGATGAATCAGAAGACGGGATACAATTACTATTCGTATTCGATGAAGCCAAAATATTGACTGAAAGAGATCCAAGTCGTGGCAAAACGAATTTCGAATGTTTGCGACATGCACTAGCTACATTATCTACATATGTATCAGGTGGCCGTGCATTTGCTATCGTCACCGACACAGTATCCAAAATATCAAACTTTGCTCCAGCAGCTCATCGTGACAGTTCTTTCCGTGTTCAGAACAGGTTGGCTGTATATCCACCATTTTATCATATTGCCACATTGGACATTTTCATGACAGAAGAAACAGAACCAAAGACGTTACATCGAGTGGCATCACCACAATACTTCTTTCGTTATGGGCGGCCTCTTTGGGGTGGATTGCTCAATGTTAAAGGTACTAGAAATAGCAAAAAGCAAGTTGATTGGAGGTCTCGACCTTGAAGATTGGATCACAAAGAAGCATACCGAGAAAATAACAATATCAGAATCCATTGCAGTTCTCGGATCACGATTGTGTATTGGCGTTGTACCCCAGACTGAATTGGCTACAGAACTTGTTGCTAGTTATATGAGTTGTGCTATTACCTATCCGATACTCGTGAGTCAGTTATGATAGATTATCCATCGGATCCAGTACTTGCAGAAGCGTCAGCTCATATAACAAATAATATTAACGGAATCGGGTTGTCACATTTTGTTGGCACACTCATTAATGCTCTCAGAGAAGGGTCAGTAGAAGGTGAATATAGAGGAGGGTTAGTTGCCCGATTGAACTTGATGATGGCATGGGATAAAGCCTGCTTGGCGTATAGTCACACACCCAAGTAGCAAATCAGTTCTCACGTCCAATGACATTGCAGCAATATTTCAAAGCCCTCCTTTCACCGGAAATTTTGCGGGCACTTCAAGACAAACTTTCGCCAAAATTACAAACTGCGAGAATTAGGTTCACCCACTTTATTCGTGTTACATATACACCATCCCCAAAACAGCTCGAGTTCTTTCGACGTTGCGCCGCAGTAATTTGCAAGAGAAATCAAGTCGGTGTGGACTTAATACTGTCGTTGTTGATTAATACTCATGAGGATGAGGAATTCTCTTTTGACAAAGTAACATATGTCTTAAAAATTATCAAAATGGAAAGAACTCTATTTATCCAATGACAGCAACATCATTACTTTTTCAAATAATGCTGGCATTGAAAAAGTTGCACAAAATCCATTTGTCGCTCTTTACACGCAACTAGGAGCACCATCGGGAATTTGAAATACTAGCAGAATTGCGGTAAACTTCAAACCTGACGATGAAGGGTGAAGAAAAAATATCCAGTTTAAAAAATGCAAATATCTCCATATTCAGTGGACCAAATTAAATGATTTTGGTATCATTAGAAAGGTCTAGTCAAGGCGCATCTAATGGTATCAAAAACATTGAATTCAATTCACTAGATGTGGAGATATCGCGTCTCAAAAACACTGTACAAAATCGTTCAAAATTGTAAAAATTTTCTTTACCATTCTGCGAAGAAATTGATATTTGCAATTATCTTCGCATCCAGTGGAACAAATTATTTGATTTCGATACCATTAGAAAGGTCTAGTCTAGGCGCATCTAATGATATCAAAATCATTGAATTGGGTTAACTAGATGCGGAGATATCGCGTCTCAAATACAACGTACAAAATTTTTTCACAATTTTGTAGTGTTTTTGAGACGCGATATCTCCGCATCTAGTGAATCAAATTCAATGATTTTGATACCATTAGATGCGCCTAGACTAGACCTTTCTAATGGTACCAAATTCATTGAATTTGGTCCACTGAATGTGGAGATATTTGCATTTTTTAAACTGAATATTTTTTCTTCATCTTTCGTCGTCAGGTTCGAAGTTTACCGCAATTCTGCTAGTATTTCAAATTCCCGATGACTGGAAGCATCATTTGAACTTCCCAGTCCTGATCGTATCACGAGAAACATCAAGAATAAATTGGAAGAACTTGAACAACCAGAGATCTTGTTGAAGTCTGGAACGAGGGCAAATAAAAAGGGAAATTTGAAGAGGAATCATGCAGACATTATTGGATCAGTGAACTTTTCGAAACATTCTAAATCAGATGCTACTATTAGTCATATACATTACATTGCGTTGTTTGGTTTGTCAAGTGAAATCTATGGCGTTTTTTCAAACTCGGCACAAGTTATGGAAGCAACTTCATCTATTGCAACAGTTCAATCCGCACCTGCTTCAGATATCACAGAAATACTAAAAATAATGTTGAAAACATGGGCAGAACCCCGCAATCTTCAGAGTACAGAAGAGCGAAAGATCCTAATCACAAGAATGAGTTCTTACGTTTACAACATAAAAAACCCTGGCAAACCATAACACTGGATGAAAACGACAGAGATAGCAACTCCGAAACAGAGGAGGAAGGGTTAAGTTAGTGGAGAGCTGATAAAAACATAGTCTATGGGAGTTTTTGTGAAAAAGAAAGTTTGTACTAATAAAGAAGAATTGTTTTATTGCCAAATGTAATGGCTAGCGTTTCTATATAACAAATGACAATATGTATAATATTATAAGTTTAATCATATCATTATTCTGCCATAATGCAGCATGACGATCTGTACCATCTCTTGTGCCAGAAATCCAGCGATTTAAATCGAACCCCTTGTAGAGAGGATTCGAATAGATCCAAATTCATTCGATTCAATAACTAGATGTTGAATAAATTCACTTCAGAAGTTTTCGCTATCTTAGAAATAGGGTGAACCTGATGTTTATTCACTAAGTGAGTGGATACACGAGAATTTTGAGTGTGAATCCTTTTCACTATCCTAATATGTACAATTGTTATTATTATTCCTGATGAAAAAAATCCTATAATTCAGGTCAATAATGAATTCGTTGTTAAAACTATATATATATAGAGGATTATCTGTATATAAATATAGTTCTACTGAATATGAAAAAGCAATACGTTTCTTGGAGGTAGGTTGTGATTGTGATTGCTCAGCCATGGTCCCTAAAAAAGAGTTTGCTGAACTGCGCGAGGTCTTTCAAGCTCTTTTCAAAGCAGAACAAGACATATTCTTGATGGAATAATAAGCACCAGCTGACGTCTTAAAATAAAGTTCGAATTAATAAAGAACTTTCTATCCTTAAAATAATATTAATATAAGAAAAAATACAAGTTATGGTAATGAAAAATGAATATCTTGTACTTTTATGCATAAATTGGAGTATTGAATAAGCTGTATATGCTATATTTGAGTGTTAAGAAAAAAATATTGCTTAAACTGGAGATATTTAGATAGGTTATCTATGAGCGAAAAGTCATGCTAGAGAAAAAGCAGTGCTAAAACTAAATTTGAGCCAAGTAATAATGAAAAAAGAAACCTTACTAACTGGAATCAGGCAACAAAAAGTTACTATTCAGCTCAACTGCAACAAGCCCAAGCCAAAGAACTTATTGTTGGAATCGAAATACTTCTCTTTGTCAAAAAATATATTTTAACATGCTGGGAATTGGTCACACTTATTTTGAAAATATAAAAAATTATTTGATAATGAATTGAATATCATGATGAAAAACCAAAATGACAATTAATAAAATGTTATTATATTGTAAAAAATTTTCTTAAGAATTATACTAAGATTCATGAACTATTAAGTTCAGGAATAAATATTAATTACATAATTCAATAACTTATATTCTATTGTTATCAGTTAAAACAAGCTATAAATCTATTTCTTTGAACTTTGAAGAAAATAATATGTTGAAATTGTTAAAATATGATATATTTTGCAAGTTATAATATTAATTAATATCTTATATTCAAATTATGAAATCAAGTATAATGCTTACAAGAAGAAAGAGAATAGAAATCTATAAAGAATAGCTAACAAAAACCAAATTAAAACAAAAAATATGAAATTGGTAAAGAGCAAAGAAAATTGGTAAATAAAAATTATTTTATGGCAGAAGATAAAGTATTATAATATTGAATACTATTACTTATTATAGTTATAATTGAGCACAAAATATTTTTTGATTAATAGAAAATATAATTCTCACAAAATATATTTATATATATGATATTCAAGTTAAAGCAATATGTGAATAAATTAACTATATTCTTGATGAAGATGAAATAATAGATAAAGATTATAATGGAACACTTAGCATGACATGATTTTTGATAGAATAAATAAAAATAAAAAATATTTGAAGATTACTTATAATAATACTGGTAGACAAAATAAAAATAATATAATTATTCAAGTATAATAATTTATGAAAAAATCAAGTATAATTGAATTAAACAAAGCTTAGTGCTTTAAAATTGAATAGTTTACAAAAATATTGTATGTTACTGATTACAGTATCTGGAGTATTATTTAAAAAACTTAATTTTAAATTGAAATATATTTGGTTATTCATAAATCCAGTGATTTCATTGATGAAAAAGAGGATATTTTTAAGAAAGACATTATAATTAGCAAATATTATAGTTAATATTATATAGTATTAGTATTTTTTTTGAAGTAACTAATTCTGAAGTTATCAAAATTCAGATAGTTACTAATAATATATTTATTAAATTTAATTTATTGAATACTAGAAAGCAAATATTTTTAAAGTTGCAAGAAAATCAAATCTTCATTTATTTAATATTAATATTTTCTTTTTTGAATTATAAAAGATAAGAATATTTTTATAATAATATTAATTTATAAAGGATAAATTCAAAGATATTTCTTGTCTGAAATCAATAAATAATATAAATAAATAATTTATAATTAATATAAAAATACTTGAAAACTAATATTTTTTAGTACTATAATGTAGAAATTCTTAAATTAATAATATATTTTAATTTTAAAATGTTATTACTTAATAAAGAGACAAAATTTTCAAAATCTGATCAGTAATTTTATAGAATTTGTTATAAAAAACAAAGTTATTGATTAAATTTTGAAAATTTTGTCTCTATATTAAGTAATAGTATTTTAATATTGAAATATATTATCAAGTTAAGAGTTCCTATATTATATTACAAATTTGTTAAAATATGATTTAAAAATTTTATTTATTAATTATTAAAATATTGCTGATTAGTTATCTTTGAATTTTATTTTTATATAAGTATTATATTTGATTTTTCCAAAAGTATTTATCTAATAAGTTATTAATTTTTAATTATAAATATTATTTTTTTTTACTATTTAAAATTCAAAATAATTTTATAGATAAATAATTTAAAAAATAAAATTTAATTTATATTAATAATTTTTTTTGGTGTAATAAGTAAATTTTTATTAAATTATTTTATAATATAATAAATATTATTTAATTTAAATACTATATTTATTTAGATATATTTTATTTATTAATCTTTATTTATTTAAAATTCAAAATAAATTTATAAAAAAATAATTTAAGAAATAATAACTTGATTTAATTATTTATAATTAATACAAAATTAAATTTTTATTTTTCTTTGTAATTATTATTGATATTAATCAAAAATTATTTAATAATAAAATAATTTTTTATTTTAGTATTCAGTTAATTTTATTTTTTATAAATTTTCTTTTAAATAATAATCTTTTATAATATAATTTTAATTTATTGATAAATTATTTTTAATATTAATTTTGTATTGAATAATATTAGATTTTTTAGATTTGAATATATTAAATAAATTATTATATTTAGCTATTAGTTAATTTATTTGTTATTATTAATTTGTATCTAAATTAATTTTATATTTTTTTAATTTAATAAATTGATTCTAATACAAATCTTTTTAACAAGTTAAATATAAACTAAATAAGTTTTTTTTATGTAAATATTTATTAAAACTAACAATTTTATTTTTAAGTATTTTTTGAAATATTAAATAATAAAATTATTTGTTTTTAAACTAAATATAATTCTTTTTTATTTTGAAATTTAATTCGATTTTTTTATTTTAGTTTTTCAAAAATTTGGAGTAAAGATTAGTTTTTCAAATTTTTTTTATACTCGAATTTATTATTTTTTAGCTATATTTTTTTTTAATTTTATTAATTAATTCAAAATTATATTGATTTATTTTAGTTTAATTCAATTTAATATTAATTTGAAATTAAAAATCTTAATTAATAGTAGAAATATAACTTAAATTATTTTTTTTATTTGATTATATATAATAAAATTATTGTTAAATTTAAAGTAAAAAAAGTTATTAATAAAATAATATAATTATTAGTATCTGAAAAAATATATTTACTAAAAACTAAATAACAAATAGAATTCTGAAAAAAAATATGTTTCAATTTGAATTAAACTTAAACTAAACTCAAATCTAGAAAAAGTATATAAAATAAATATTGTATCTAATTTTAGATATTTAGAATCAATTTCATTAACAATTTAATTAAAAGAAATAATATAGATTCTTATATTATAATTAAAATATTAGTTAGAATATATCATTAATTAGCTTTTAGATTATTACTTATATGAAAAGAAATAAAAGATAAATCTAAAATAATTAATATTAAATATATTAAAAATATTAGAATAATACTTATTTATGTTTTGATTCACTAAAATTAACTTAATTAACTTAATTAATTCAATTTATTTAGTTAATTCAAGCTAACCAGTTAAACTAATTGCAATCCGTGAGATCAATTTAGTTAACTAATTAATAATTTTGGTATCTAGTTTAAATTACTATTTTTAATAATATTAATATTAAATATTAGCACTTTTTTTAGCTATTACAGTAATTTTTAATATTTTATTGATAATTTCTTCTATTTTTACAATTAATTCTATTTATTCTTTTATTAATTTCTTATTTTGATTATATATAATTATTGAAAAGTTGAAAATCATAAGATAAGCAACTTAATATTAATATAATCAAGATGAGCCAATTCATTTCAAGATGATTTGTTGATAAATTGATTGGAAAATTTCAGTAACAGAGATTTTTTCTGATTTATTATAGTTAATAATATCCATTTCATTTTCTGTATTATCTTCTTGAATATAACATGATAATATAACTTTATCAATTTTATTGTATGCAGCATAAACTTCTAATAGCATTTTTCAATCTCGAAGTTACTTAGTACCATTATTTTGTCTCCATTCTTTACAATTAAACCAATAAATACATTTGATTTTCATATATACAGAAATATCATTTTTTATAAGTTCTAGTAATGTATATTTCTTTAATAGGCATTCTAATTTCACAAATGGTGCATGCAGGTTAGGTTAAGTTAATGTTGAATCATATAATGGTGACAAGTATCAGCCTTAATTCCATCTTTCTGGAAATAAGCTTGTGCAAAATATTGATCAAAGTACAGTTCTGGCGGCAAGTAATGGCAGTGAGATTGGTATATAAATTTTACTATAATACTAGTATTTTTTATAGAAGCAAATATATAAATAAAGTGCTAGATTTCTAGCGAGATAATAACAATTAAAAAAAAATAAAAATGTGATGAATTTGCGAAAATCTAATTACAGGTTTGTAAAATTTTCAAAATTTATTTTCTCAATAATCAGTAATCAGAATTTTTTGGTCTTATTAAATTTTTCTCAATAAGACGAACATTTTGGTAATACATGTACATGTATTTTTAGTTAAAAAACGTTCAAGTTGCAAAATTTTTAGACCATTAAATTTTATTCACACGGAAAGAGATCGCATCTAGTACTGATATTTAGGGACATAATTCCCTACTCAAAGGTACTATCAAAATAATTTTTTTAATTTTATTATATAATTGAATGAAATATAAAAAAAACTGGCCGTCATTACTTTTCGCATTTTGCATTCGTAACATTGTATGATTTGTTCTGCAGGTTGTATTTGATGAATGGCCAATTCATTTTTGTACAAATAGAGTTTGAATCTAAGCAATCCAGATGGTCAGGACAAAAAATTTTCTGATTACACCAACATTTCTTTCCAGGATCATACAAAAGATTGTTGGATATGATTAATTCCCTTTCAAGTGTCCACGCTCTATTTATTATAATAAAATCTACAACTTACACTTAATGTTAACGTTAATCTTTTTTTCATAAACATTTTCCGTAAAAATGAATCATTACTAACGAAACACAATCAATCCGTTCCTATTATGGAAAATAAAATCGATATCAACGTGTCGTCTTAGAGTGGTGATCTTTATCGTCGTGAGTTTTACGGAAAAGTTTATTTTTTATCTTAATGAGCATTACCACTTCACTCAAGTGGGTTTTATATATAATAATAATAATAATAATAATAATAATAATAATAATAATAATAATATCATCAATGATATTTGTTTATAAAAATAAATTAATTTGCTATATAATACAATATTCTGATTAATTCACACAAGAAATTTACACATTATGCGAGGCGACTCCTTTTCGTTGTTTTTTTGGTGACGTCATTAGTGCGTTTGAGAAGGCGTAAATTAAAGCGCCGAGTAATGGGCCTAACCAAAATACCCAGTGATCTTTTATTGGAAAAATAAAAAAATGTGAAGAATGAGTTTAAAATGGATTTATTGGGAATAGAAATAAATTTTTTATTGACTTACGTGAAAAATTTTCACTTCCTACTGAAAGACCAAAACATTTTGCCGGATTTGTACCAGCTCTGTTAACCGACCAATAGTTTAATAAATAGCTATTTGAAAGGTTTTCAAAATATAAACCGGAATAACAGAAAGAAGCACTTACCCAGGCCACCCAGCATTGATTCCCCCACTTAACCAAACTACCATCGCAAAAGTAGCACTGACAAGAAACGCCGTCGCATTAAGCGAAAAAATCTTGCTCCGTATTGGATCTAAAGCGATAGCATAAACAACAAAAGCAATCGCAAATGCTACTAGAGATTCCCCGATAAACGCTCTTCCGACTGAGAATTCTGTATCGTTGAATCCGCATGCGCCTAGTGATGTCGTGTCGGCGGATAGGGAACGCAGGAGAGCACCGCCAACTGCGGCACCTACAGTTTGGTTTGCAATGTAGAGAAGTCCACGTGGGAAGGAGATGACACGTGTGAATACTGCTGTCATTGTTACGAGAGGGTTTAAATGGCCTCCTGGAAAATTGGTATATTTTAAAGTAAAGAAAACAGTTTAGCGTTTTACAAGTTCGAAGATTGGCAAAATAATCTTTAAGCAATGAAAAGTCATATATTCGTACCTGAAATAGGACCGACGGCAATAATCAATAGCCCTACAATCGGAATATGTGCCAACCCAGTCTCAAAGGCAGAACCACTAATATGGAAAAATTATTTTATCAATCATCTTTGCTCTTTATTACTTAAGGAAAAAGGGACAACAACTTACGAAGCAATCGCAGTCGCACCAACCATAAATGTCAACACACAAACCGCCCAAAACTCTGCACTAGCATTTCGCCAAATATTAGGATTTCTCCATTCCGAAAAATCAAACATTTCTTCTTTTCTCAAGAGACTGTCATCATTTGCGTTGTCTTCATGACCTGATGCTAGAGTTGTTTGTTCTTTTTTGTGCGAGTTGTTATCGAATTGTTGCGATTCTGGTTTGTGTGTTGGTGGTAAAGATATTTCGAGATCTGGTGATTGCATTTTTTTTTGATTGATTATTTATCGTATCGTTATGGTGCGTGCGGGAGGATTAGTTTTCTTTGATTGTTATCGTTATGATATTGGTATCGGTATTTATTTGAGTTTTATCGTTATTGTGTAATACGTATCGGGGATTTTATATGAAAATCTCATTTCATTGTGTATTAAAAAAAACTAGATCCGTGTTCACAATTTCATTGTGTAGAACAAACATCTGGTGAAACAATGAGACGTGTGTTTTATCGTTACGTGACAAATTGCTGAATTCAGTAATACTATTAGGGACTACGGAGCGGAGACTACAGAGCGCAAAAGAGAACATTATATTGATATCATTTAGCGTTAGAATATACTCAACTACTCTGCATAATAATAATGGCATAAAAGGGGAAGATACAGGAAACACGTAACTCCTTGAATTTTTCTTGTTTGTTAGATTTGGGGGGGGGGGGAATGATTTAAAATTGTTCTTATAGCGATAGCAATCAAATATGACATTTAGTATTTCTCCCTTCAAAAGAAATAATACATACGTACGTATAATTTTTAATAATAGTAATATTCATAGCAATACATACAAAGTTTGTCATAAAGTTTATTTCTCCCCACGCCAATGGTTAATCTCGTACTCTTGTTCTCTTTCTGTTTCAAAGTACAAAGAACGGAAATATTACGTGTACACGTACATGCAGTAATTGTACCAAAATGGAAAATACAATGATTGAACGCATATTTTATACATGTACTGTATATCATTTCCTTATTGAGTTGAGAAATAAAGACTTCGCAGCGCCCAAAACTAAAAGAGGTCGTTTTAGATTTTTTATTCCATATATAAGTTCAGCCTTTATGAATTCAGCTTATTTAGTATTATTAAAGACAAAGAATTATCCTAAACCAAACCCTGTAAAAAAATCTCAGTTTTATCCAGTAAATATATCTGGATCTTTGCAGGATAAATTCAGAATATAAACCGGACAAAAAATCATAATTTTTGAATTTTGACTAAAAGTGCCTTTTTTACAGGACAAACTCAAAACCCCAGCATAGAAAAGTTTGGACTCCCAAAGCAAAAACCATCGATACTACCATTTTATGTGTTAAATAAATAATCATTGAACGAGCCGCGTCTTATAAAAAGCACATCTTTTGTAGCTCTTGCAGATTTGCAAATAACAACGAAGCCGAAGAATCAATTTTCACATGAATATCACATTTTTTTTGGTGCAAGGTAAAAATTAATACATGTACAGAACTCTTGACATTAGGCCAGGTCCAGTAATTGTGCATATCTTCAGTTGTCAATGGGATTGGTTCTCATTAGAACTGTGTTGTAAATGGATCCAACCAGTCCGTCAGCTTATCAACATTGGCGTCAAATATTAAAGTTTGTTAAAATAAGAGCAGGTGACTTATAATTGATAACAAAAATTAAAGTTCTTTTTAGAAACTTCTTTCTTGAATGTTTATAGTGATGTGATGCAATTGTTCAAACGATTTGTATTCGAGAATTTCTGAATACATTTGTCTCTATTTATACAAAGCAAAATGCTTTTTTAGAAGTATCTAAATTGATTAAATCAGTTTCGACTAATTTAAAAATCTAGCTAAAAAACGCAAAAGCCAAAGAAATCATAATTTCCTTTATCAATTAATCCACGATAATTGACTAAAAATAAAAGATGCGTACGTAACTTCAATCGATGATCGAAACCATCCAATCCATCGTCTCCCAATAACATAGTCAAATCCCTGTCAGTAGACTAAATTCCGAGGATGAATCTTACAAATCTCTTCACATACGAAAATTGTATAATCAATATATAAAACATACTATTTATAAAATCAAATTTTGCAAAATTGAGAAGTTTACTTCATTCAAAAAATAGTGGTTCTTCATTCGTTTGGCTGAATAGACATTAGCGAAACTTCTTTTGCCAAGTATTCTGAAAATTGTTTAAGATCAATCCACGCTATACAGTCCGCGATTGAATAGTGCAGTGCTTTTTTTATGAATTTATTTCCAGTTGATACGTTTTTTCGTTTGCAGTGGTTACAGATTTCAAGATATTTAAATTGACTTTGAGATTCATGGCATTCATTGCATATAAGATTTGCACAAAAGATGCTTAGTGTTAAATTTTCATATATGCAAAGGTTGCATAAAAAACTGTTAGCTTTTAGATTGAAAAATTTATACAACTACAAATCTGCCTTGTTTTTTGCATTTGGAACAGATTATTGATGCAGAATACAGACTTTTATACTCTGGACGATAATGACCATAAACTATGTTGGTTTTTTTTACAAGAACAATTTAACGAATAAGGGAAATTTTTATTTAATATTTTTCTAAAGTTTGTTTTTAATAACAATATATATTATAGTTTGTTAAGTATCAGTTAATTACGGTAGATAGAATTTTCTTTATTAATACCTTATTTCTTAAGAAAATTATTCGTTGATGAAAATACGGAGCAAAAATAGTAAACAAGTACTTATTTCGCTATGCTGTTTCTCTACCAGAAAGCACAGGTAGAAAAAAGCATGACTTATGTTGACACACTCAGATTCTGTCAAATCATTGGATAAACTTCTATGTTTTGCTATCCTTATAGTTTTTTGTAGCTATTAGAGGTTTCCCCCGGATTGTGTGACAACTCTCGAAAAGCTTTTGAAAAAATGTGGATGTTTATCCAAAGGTTTAACAAGTCAAACCTCCTTTTTACCTATAAAGTGTTTTGTCAAAGTTTTTACCTATAAAGTGTTTTGTCAAAGGTTTCAAAAAAACCATGTCATATAATATAATAATTTTGTTATCGATATCGATATACATGTATTACAATAAGCAAAAATTTCTTACCTATATAATAAACACTTGAAGGAGTGCAATTGCATTCAAAAAAATTAGTATTTTATTGTTGTTCTGATAAGGAAGCTGGAATTTCAAATATTATGTTTTTAGCTACCAAACAACAATAATAAATGCAACTCCAAAACTCGGCTGTCGAAAAAAATAGGAGTAGAAGTACGTAGTTTTATCGATGAAATCCAATTGCAAAATTTTTCTTTTCTTATTTTGGAATAATATCTCACTTATGGGTTATATTCTTTTGTTAGCTATTTTGAATATATTTAAATATGGTGCAGGAACTCTTAAATCGACAATACGTATCGGTATGTTTCATGTATCAACTTAACTAAGAAGTAAATCCAAAATTTAACCGGTAATATTATAGAAAAGGACTTCTTGATATATTACTGGTCAAACTTTGGATTTACTACGTACTTGATAGAATTTTTAACATGAAACATACATGTCGATTTAACGTTAAGAGTTCCTGCATCATAGCCTTCTAAAAAAAGGCTGGCGTGAAAAAAATACAGTGCATCACTGGTCCAAAATCGTTTAGTTTTATTCAATGTCTTGTTGTCTATTTTCTACTGACAATAATCGTGAGATAGATTTCCTAAATTAGGGATATGATAAAGTGTTGTACCCACGTGATCAATCACCGGTCAATGCTTTATAAGGTCAGGATAAGGGTTAGGGTAGGATTGGATTAAAAGTTAGATGTAAAATTGTCTTCCCGACATTTTTAATTAGTCTTTCAAGCTAGGTTTACCCATTCGTTTTCCGTATTTTTCACA